CGAGGTTGACCCTCCTTCAGACACATGTGCCACACACAGACGGCGACCCCTTTGTGAGGAAAATATCCATACATGGCAAGCAATCTGGACGACAGGCAGCGCACGAGCTTTGCAGACGGCACAACGTGTTAGCAGCCACGGTAATTCCAGGCTCAGTGTACGAAGGATGCAGACCTTTTTCTGCAGACGTCCCCACGGGTTGCTATGCGAGGCAAATGTGGCGTCCTCACGGCATGCGTGACTCGCATCTCTTTCCCAGGCGATCCAGGCGACCTCTTCATGTGTGGTATTCTACCCGCACTTATGGCACATACCAATAAATCTGCCATCCGAAACATCAATTTAGACGCACGATGGGCCAGATTTCTGAGCACCGATGGTTGCATAGCACGCGCCTCCAAGAGGTTCTACATGCTGTTGGCCACGCTCACCAAGGAGACAGTTTTAGCTCTGCCAGTAGGACCCGACCCAGTGCCAAGCGTGCGGTTGCTCAGACGGGACCCGCTCTTTGACAGGCGGTTTGACCAGTTCGACATCTTTATTCATGATCAGCCTGGACCACACAGACATACGCATGGTTCCTAACCGCCCCACTGCACGGGCCACCGCTAAGGACTTGACAAGGCCTTCGAGTTCTGCGGGAGGAGGCGAAGGATGCAAGGATGCCGCAGTTTGGCCCGACACGTGAGCCCATTTGTTGCCCTGCCTGCGGTGTCTATCCCACTCTTCTTCAGCCTCGTGGACTGCGAGTTGGGCTTCACCTTGCGCGCCCTGATCGTATGAAGGTGCTCGCGGATGCACTTAGCTACCAGAAGACATACGTTTTGAGAGGGATCTGTTCGGACCAAGCCAACGCGACATATTAAGCACATCTTAGGCATTCGGAGTCGACTTAACATGGTAACGTGCTCCATTGAGTAGTGATAGGGACAGAGCGAGCGACTAGGCCGCCTGCGGGGTCTGACGACAGGGGCCCCAGACAGGCCTCCTGACCCGAACTAATTACTTCCCTTCCCCTGTCCACCAAGGTGAAAGCCCAGCCCTCCCAGTTCAGTTCTTTCGCGATGGATTTGGAGCACGATCCGTCGATGCGTATGTCCCCATTGAGAACGCGATCAGCATCCTCGGGACCACCTTGCAGCCACTCAACCTGAATGCGCCCTTCGCTGAGAGGAGGAGGAAACACATAGCCAGGATGGGGAGCACGCCGAAGACTGCCAAGTGGTCCTCCATTTCGTTCGCCCACCTCTGAATCTGGGTATCCACCAAGGAGCCCCTCAGTTCCACAGCTTCGGGACACTGACACCCCCAAATATTTGTGCCAAAGTGCGCCAGGCGCCTCCAGGCAGAGCGGGCAGAGCTGGCAGGTCAGTTGGTAGCCTAAGTCGGCCGCTCGAGTACGCGTATACACAGCGTTGCAAAGAAAGCGTTCTCGGGGATACCGTCTAGTAAGGAGTGTACTTAGAACTTGAAAGATAGCTGAAGACCCCATCAGCGCATACACGCCCTTGCATGTTGAGTCTGTCCCCCAGGTTCCACTCTCACTTCCTCAGAGAAGCCTCGCGTAAGGGGGAACAGACTAGTTTTGGCAAGTACTCCATTAAACAAGCCTCCTCACCTTTGTCGGCGCGGAACAGCAATATACGGCATGCACCAGGAAGTCCGCTCACCTGATTTTCTCATGGCCGTGATGCGCCCCGAATCCGAACGCCACATGGGGGGCTCCCCGGAGAAATCCGCGTCGCAGGACTTCAGCCTGCCGCCACGTTCGGAGCTGCTGTTGTTGGCATGAGCGATCACGAGTTGCATCTTGCGCGTCGTGTCATGTTGTCGCATCGTGTCCCACGTCATCGAGGGTGTTCGCTCATCGCCAAACTTTGTTTCGGAGGAGATCCTGTCTGGAGGGCAGGAGTTGCGCCAGCCCTGCAATAGGCTCACATTGTGTGGCTTGCGGTCACGGACCCCGTCACGTCGCCTTACAACGTCAAGCAGATATGTCAGATGTGGTGCGTTGTGCCTTTCGACAACCAAGTGAGCTGGAGGAATTCCCGTGGACCGATCCAGCGCATGCATCTGTCGTCATTCGGAGTCGGCTGGTGCGCCACATCTGCGCTTACGTGGGAAGACGATTAGGGTAGAGAGATTCAGTTGTTTTGCACGTCTCCGTCCATGGTCGGTCATTTGTTGATGTTAGCCACCCAGCGAGGTCATGAACGTAAGCTGGCCGCGAATTCCCCGTCGTTTCCTGGGACGCGAGCGGTTGTGGACCCCCATCCAAAAACTCCTCGGCCCCAGGTCCAAACAATTTTCTCATCGGGAAAAGCGCGTGGCCATCACCTGTTGTTTGCGGAGGCGCTAGTACACGTGCGCGAGCACGAGCTTCAGGATCTTCTAGCGACGGGCGTTGTCCTCTTTGCGGGCAACCTGACTCGGTCAGGCACCGCGCCTGGCAATGTCAGCGTCCCGAAGTTGTAGCTGCGCGTCTAGAAGCGGCAGGGGGTACTGAACGTTGTCCGCAGGAGGCAGCTGAAAGTGAATGCAGGAGCTTTTGGGATGAGTTGAAGATGGAACACCCTGAAAACAGCTACCCGCCCCCCCCCCCCCCATACCGACCCCGATCCCAGACTTTTCACCCCCCCAGAAGGCAGAGGTGACTTGGGGGAACATCGATTTAAGAGGATGTGATGCTTGTATGGACGGATCGTGTGCACGGCGCGCGACCCGCGAACTTTCAAGGGCGGCGTGCGCCTGGTTTTTCTTAGGGCCTGGAGAGGACATCGTCGCCTATGCCATAGGAACAGCCTGGGGCGTCCTGCCCCAGACGCCGCAGGCGGCGGAGCACCAGGCTACGTCGTTGATCCCGTTCTTTGTGCCCTACCCAGGTGCGTGGTACAGCGACTGCATGACGGTAGTGAAGCTATGCACGGCCGATCCGCGACACCAAGTGGATCGCCGCCATCGGTATGCAGGAGTTGGGGGAGGAGCGCTGTTTCACGAAAGACGGGATCATGAACCAGAAGTGCGCCACACCCCTGCCCATCGAGCTCGCAGTGTGATAGATGCGCTCCCTGGCGGAGAGAGAAGAATCGCCGTCGGGAATTGGAGCGCTGACGCCCTCGCCAAGCATTCCCTTTCCCTCCACCCCTCTCCTGCCCAACGCGTGTCGGAGGTGCTGAATGCTTCCCTGGACAAGTGCACCTTCGCGGCCCGTGTGCTGGCCAAGGTTCTGTGTGTTTTCCCTCGTGGGAAGTTCGAACGCCCTCCCCCTGGACCTCGAACAAGGTTTCTCAAGTCTGGGGGCTGGCGTTGCTGGGGGAAGTTAGAAGACGGCAGGGCTAGATGCATGCGGCGTTTACTCCTTCGCAGAGACGTTGCGTCGGGACCTCTGCTGGGATGCCCTAAGCCGAGCAAAATTTGGGAGTTCTCAGCTTTGACATGGGCCACGCCTTGGCCCACACTGTTGTCACTGGATGTGACCAACCAGGCAGCTCGAGTGAAGCTGTTTTGTACTTCTGCACGACATGTGGTGCGCACACCACACGCTTTTTTTTTGTTGGGCCGCGAATGCCAGCAGCGGAATATTGCTGGAACGACCATTACATTGAAGCGAATGTATATTGGCCTCCACCCTCATGCGCGTGAAACCAACGCGCGGGTCTCTCGTACGTCGAGACGTGGAGTGGGGCATATGCAGTCTGCTGTGAATCTACCCCCTCCTCAGGAGGTGGGGCAGATGAGGGCGAGGCTAGACAGCCTCCCACAGACCCCTCGGATGCTGGCTCTCCTGGAACGAGTTCGGGAGAGGGAAGAGGCGGCTTCAGGAGCTGTCTCATCCAGATAAACAGGTAAATTGGGCCCTGCCCCTTGGGGGAAAAAGAAAAAAAGGAAGCGTGTGAGCATAAAGACCGTTGTGGGTATTGCAAATTCCCTTGGGCCATCTGACCAGTGGCGCCACCGACGCCAATCAGTACGACTTTCCGTGAGCGAGTACATGTGCAGTTAAAGATCTCCTTCTGGCCGAGAGCTGAAGCACGGAGGCGGCTTGTTGATGGAGTCGTAGCAGGTCGCAATCATTGATGTCATGTTTTTCGGACCCGAACAGCTCCGAAAATGAAACACCCGAGACAACAAAAACATGTTTGGCAACATGGCCACCCGCTGATGGCTTCAGACGGGCCCGCCGAGAAACAACACTCTTGGTTTTTTTGCTTTCGTTTTTCAATTTAGAGCTGCGCCCTGTGAGACGTCTGGGCCTGCCTACACATTCGCCCACACCGAGGTTGTGAGCCGAGCTGAGAAAAGACCCGCCAATCCTCATAGGGCGACTCCAAGCTCGCGACCTAGCGCCGTATAAGAATAGATCGGCGATCGCTTCCCCACATCATCACGCACCTTGGCTCGTATCCCCTCCTCCAAAATAGACACCTGGACACAGACAACACGTGGCAGTTGCTGGACGATGTACTGTTTCGAACCGGTGGCGCTGAACCGGCGGGGCGGCGGCGCTGCCGCCGCTGGTCCGCCGCCGCCGCCCGCTCCGCTGCGTCGCTGTTCCGATCGGTCGAAAGGCCGATTTGGCCTCTCGCTCCTTGGCCTCCTAGCTGTGATTGCTGTCCAGAGGAGAAACGGGACCGATACCGCTACCCGTCCCGCGCTTTCGCGTTCTAGGCCTCCTGGGAAGTCCTCGTCGCCCCGGTGGGATTCCCGTCCCTCGCTTTCGCGTTTTAGGCATCGTAGGAAGCCCTCGTCGCCTCGGCGGGATTCCCCTCGAAATTCTGGTCAGAACGCATCCAGGGCAAGGTCCGCGGAGTGGCGGTCTCGGCATCTTGTTGTTTTTCCAGGGAGAGATCCTGGCGGGGGTCCGCACAGGGCTGTCCCTGAGGGGTGTGCGGCCTCTGGGCCTTTTTGTTGTGATGCGTTCGCCTTCTCTCTCATGCGGAACTGTAAGCAGCTGCTAGACATGCCCCGCGCGTTCCTCTTCAGCGACCGTGACCGGGGAGGCTGTGAGCGGGAACGTGAGCCGCGCCTCGTTGCCAGGCAGCTGCATGGAGTGGCGTCGCGGGGGGCCTCGATGAAGGAGCATTGCAGGGAATGGCATTTGGCAACGAGCAGGGGGCATTGATAGCGCGAGAGAGGTGGAGACAAGATTGTGGAATGGATGGCTGGAGAGATGAAGGAGTGATGATGTTGAAGAGCAAGATGCTATTGTCCAGACAGTCTCCCTCTATTTCCCAACCATCCTGTGGTGTTGGGTCCTCGTTTTGAAGAGACAGCGCCCCGCGTCTCACCTCCCGCTGCCCTCCTCTCTTCTCCCATCATCGTCATCATCATCATCATCATCATCATCATCATCATCATCATCATCATCATCATCATCATCATCATCGTCATCATCACCACTAGCATCATCATCGTCATCATCATCGCCATGGCCATTAGTTTCCAACCATCCTGTGGTGTTCGCATGGCGGCCCCGCCCCATTCTGGCGCACCCCTCACACGGTTCGTGGCCCCATAGGGAGCTCCACCGAAGGCCCCAGTGGCTGCGTTCGCATGGCGGCCCCGCCCCATTCTGGCGCACCCCTCACACGGTTCGTGGCCCCATAGGGAGCTCCACCGAAGGCCCCAGTGGCTGCGTTCGCATGGCGGCCCCGCCCCATTCTGGCGCACCCCTCACACGGTTCGTGGCCCCATAGGGAGCTCCACCGAAGGCCCCAGTGGCAGGGTTCGCATGGCGGCCCCGCCCCATTTTGGCGCACCCCTCACGATCGTGGCCCCATAGGGAGCTCCACCGAAGGCCCCAGTGGCTGCGTTCGCATGGCGGCCCCGCCCCATTTCGGCGCACCCCTCACGAGGATCGTGGCCCCATAGGGAGCTCCACCGAAGGCCCATCGCATGGCGGCCCCGCCCCAGCGCACCCCTTCGTGGCCCCATAGGGAGCTCCACCGAAGGCCCAGTGGCTGCGTTCGCATCCACCGCAGGCTCAGAATTGGCCCCATACAGCCTTCCCCATAGGGAGCTCAGTGGCCGTTCGCATGTGGGCCCCGCCCCATTTCGGCACACCCCTCACGAGGATCGTGGCCCCATAGGGAGCTCCGCCCAAGGCGCCCGTGGCAGCGTTCGCATGGCGGCCCCGCCCCATTTCGGCGCACCCCTCACGAGGATCGTGGCCCCAGTGGCAGCGGAGCTCGGGCCACGGCGAAGGATCGTGGCCCCAGCTCCACCGAAGGCGCCATTGGGAGCGTTCGCATGGCGGCCCCGGGCCATTTCGGCACACCCCTCACGAGGATCGTGGCCCCATAGGGAGCTCCACCGAAGGCCCCCAGTGGCAGCGTTCGCATGGCGGCCTCGGGCCATTTCGGCACACCCGTCACGAGGATCGTGGCCCCATAGGGAGCTCCACCGAAGGCCCCAGTGGCAGCGTTCGCATGGCGGCCTCGGGCCATCACGAGGATTCGAAGGCCCCAGTGGCAGCGTTCGCCTCATTTCGGCACACCCCTCACGAGGATCGTGGCCCCATAGGGAGCTCCACCGAAGGCCCCAGTAGCTGCGTTCGCATGGCGGCCTCGGGCCATTTTTGGCGCACCCCTCACGAGGATCGTGGCCCCATAGGGAGCTCCACCGAAGGCTCCAGTGGCAGCGTTCGCATGGCGGCCTCGGGCCATTTCGGCACACCTCACGAGGATCGTGGCCCCATAGGGAGCTCCACCGAAGGCCCCCAGTGGCAGGGTTCGCATGGCGGCCTCGGGCCATTTCGGCACACCCCTCAGGAGGATCGTGGCCCCATAGGAGCTCCACCGAAGGCGCCAATGGCAGTCTCCCTCATGGCTCTCAGAACCCTTTCCTGCTTCTGCTCTTCGGTCAGGGGGACGCCGTCCTCGTGGTCGTCGGCGCCCGCGAAGACGGCCACAAACGTGTCCCTGACCATGTCGGGCTCCGGCGGGAAGCCGTGGCCACATAGGGAGCGCGGGCGAAGATGGTATTCACAATTGCTGTATCCACAATTGCGTATGGTTGGGTCCTTCGCCAGGCTAATTTGTTTTCCCTCTTCAGCTCCCTCCCTCCTCCACCTCATCTTCACCCCTTCCTTGTCCCTCGTCCCCCTCGTCCCTTGCTCCTTGTCATCATCCCTCCTCGGCCTCCTCCCCCTCGCCTTTTTTTGTTTGTCTCTCCCTCTCTCTCTCTCTCTCAGTTTCTCCTTTCCCTTCTTCCTCTCCTCATCTTCGTTCTTGGTGTAGGAGCAAGACGCAGGATATCAAGGGAAGCGGGCAACCGAGCTTCAGACAGGCAGTTGTAAATCCCAGGTCGCCCACAGGGCGCGAATCTGACCGCACTTCGCAAGGTGTGCCAGAGAGTTGTACTTCTCCACGGGGAGGCGCGATGGCGCGAACACATCATCCTCTACGTTTCTCGCGGCACCAAGCGATAAATTGCGCGACAAGTGGTACGCGTGCAATGGCTCTTCCGCGAGGTAGCGGCGAGGAGCAGGAGGAACAGGCTGAAGAAAAGGCGAACCTCTCCCAGCCACTATGGGAGAGAAGGGAGGAGGGGGCCCAGAGCGGGCGACGAACTGACGAACAATGACGAGCGACCGACGACCGACGAAAATGCAGGGCTCCGAGCTCTGGGGCGCAGCTTTGGAAAGAGAACCGGGGCGAAGGGGCCAGGAGGCCAGGGGGGCAGGGGTCCTGGACCTGAGGGGGTGCTTGTGCGGGGGAGGGTCCATGGGAAGGGGTCCAGGGGCGGAGGGGGGGGGTCCAGGGCCAGGCGGTGTCGAGGGCCAGGGGTGAGGGGCAGTGTGATGCTGGGGAGAGATCCGGCGGAACGTGGAGCGAGGGTCGGGACCGGGGGGGGGGGGGAGTTGTGGTGCCGGAGGAAGTCAAGGGCCAGGGGAGGGGCTCGCCCAGGCGCCAGCGGGAGGGGCGGGTGCCTGCTGGGGAGGGGCGGGCTGCACACGTCGAGGGCGGGGCGGGGCCGAGGACGGATCGCCACGGGCGACGAAAGGAGGCGAAGACGGAGGGCTCCGGGGAGGAGGGGGCGAGAGCGCGGGGGGCCAGGGGCGTCCGGGGCCACGGGGCGGGGCTGGGGCGCGGAAGGACGACGACGGAGGCCAGGGCGAAGAGTTCCTGGCTCCAGTGAGTTGCTGTGCAAGAGAGCACAGACGAACGCGTGGGTGCGCGGAGGTTGAAGCGAGAGGAGCAGTGCTGGCAGGAGCAGACGATTTGGCGTGTCGAGCAACGGAGAGGCTTGTAGAAGGATGTAGTGGTTGAAGACGGCGCTCGTCAGCGATGCATGCCAGTCTTGCTTCACAGTCGGAAGACGCGCGGGTGATGGCGGGAATGGGGGCATTACGTGGCAATTGACAACAAGTCTCACGATGAGCTGTGCGGCGTCACGCGAGTTGCACGTAATGTAACGTGTAAAGTTCCATCATGGGGAACGAGTTGGACAAGCATGAAGTATGGATGATTGGAGGTTGGGGGGTGTGAACGGAGGTGACCTCAACCGGGAAGTCGGTTTCGGTTTCGGTTCGTGTCGTGCGTGCGGGCGAGGCGAAGTTGCGCGAGTTTTGCCCTGTTAGGGGCAATCTATTGCTAAAAGGGCCGCCCTCCCCAGTCGGCCAGCCGTAACTCCCGGGTTGTCCCCGCGGTTGTCCCGATGGTTGTTCCGAGGGTTGCCCCGATGGTTGCCCCGATGGTTGTGCCGATTGTTGTCCCGATGGTTGTCCCGATGGTTGTCCCGATGGTTGTACGGACGGTTGTCCCGACGGTTGTCCCGATGGTTGTCCCGATGATTGTCCCGATGGTTGTCCTCATGGTTGCCCCGATGGTTGCCCCGACGGTTGTCTCGGTGGTTGTCCCGATGGTTGTCCCGACTGTTGCCCCGATGGTTGCCCCGACGGTTGTCTCGGTGGTTGTCCCGATGGTTGTCCCGATGGTTGCCTCGACGGTTGTCCCGATGGTTGTCACGATGGTTGCCCCGATGGTTGTGCCGATGTTTGCCCCGATGTTTGTCCCGATGGTTGTCCCGATGGTTGTCCCGATGGTTGTTCCGATGGTTGTCCCGATGGTTGTCCTGAAGTTGGTCCCGATGGTTGGTCCCGATGGTTGTCCCGATGGTTGTCCCGATGGTTGACCTGATGGTTCATAGATATATCGATTGATTGATCGATCGATATACGCATATCTATATTTATATATATATATACACATAGGTCGATAGATAGATGGGTATAGGTGCGCGACGTAGGAAATTCTAGACGCTTCGCGTATCCCCACCAGCCCGTCCAGAAACGACGCCCAGGCGAGTAGAGGGTCGTCCTGAGGGGCTTTTCGGCGTCTTGGGTGCCTCGGGGGTGGGTCTCTGTGGGCCGTTCGGGATCCTCTTTGGGGCCTCCTGGGGGCCTCTTGGGGCCTCTGGGGCCATCTTGGGGCCTTTGGGGGCCTCCTGGGCGCTTCTTGGGGCCATCTTTGCCCCCTCAGAAGGCCGAAATGGGGCCCAAACCATAGTAAAATGCCTCTGGGAGCACCTTGGGTGCCTCTGGGGGGTCTCTTGGGGCCTCTTGGGGGTCTCTTGGGGGCCTCCTGGGGGCCTCTTGGGGGGCCTCTTGGGGCCATCTTGGGGCCATCCTGCGGCCTCTTGGGACATCCTGGGGGCCTCTTGCGGCCATCGTGGAGGAAATCGAGCAAAGAAGTTGGGTTCCCTAATTACAGCCCCCCCCAGGAGCTCCAACAATCGCTTCCTGGACCCTTCTTGGATCGCTCTTGGAGCGCTCGTGGCCGCTCTTGGAGCCATCCTGAGGCTCTCTTGGGCCCCTCTTGGAGCCATCTTGAGCCATCTTGGAGTCATCTTGACGCGTAGGATGTGCATCGCAAGCGAAAAAGTGAGAACACCAAAAACATTGATTTTCCCTAGGGTTTTGAAGCATGTTGGCCTCTTGGATGCATCCTAATGATGCTCGTGTGGGCACTTGGAACCGTCTTGGGGAGTTCTTGGAGCGTCTTGGAACATCATGGGGACCATCTTGAGGCATCTTGCGCTATCTTGAGCCATCTTGGAGGTCATCTTGAGCTCCCTGAGGCCCTCTTGGAGCCGTGTTGGGCCGTCTTGGACGCTCTAACTACCCGCGGCCCCCCCTGTCCAGGTCAGTGGGGAGGGGGTAGGGGGAGGGGTAAACCCCTCCCCGAAGGGGAAGAAGGAGGGGTGGAAGAGGAAACGCTCTAAACCACCGACGCCCAGAGGGCTGGTGGGATTGGAGAAGCCACCACAGAACCCATAGCCATCGCAAATCGACCGCCTCCCCCTCTCCTCCCCAACCTCCTTATCACCCGTAGGGTGGTCCCATGGATGGGTACTTGTGAATCCTCCTCTCGCTCTTTCCCCGCTTCTCCATCCTCCTTGCTGATAGGTCTAGGGAGAGAAAGGGCAGGGTCAGGGCTCGTCTGTATAGGTTCCACCTTGCGGATCCCACTCGGCGCACTGCTGTTAGGGCAAATTGTTTGCGCGAGACCGTGTTGTGTATTGGCTCGTGTGAATTTGTTCAGGAGCCAGTGTCTCAGTTACTTGCGCCCGCCCCTCTAGTCCCGTTGTCATCCACATTGCGTCTATAGTCCTCGCCTTTGCCACTGTCCTAACTCACGTGAGGAAGGAGGAAGGAGGAAGAAGGAGGAGGAGGGAGGAAACGGGCAGGGAGGAAGGAGGAGAACAGAGTGGAGAGGAGAGGAAGGGACGAGGGAGGAGGGGGAAAGGCCAATTCCCCCCCTCTACACCTGAGAGCACCCTGATGAACCTGCTGGTTCTCCTAGGAAGACTGGGACCACGTCTTGCCTGTGATGCGTGTTTTTTGGGGGGCGCATTCGCCATGACAGGGCGTCCACCAACACGTAGCAGCTTGATGTCGACCTCGACCACCAGCGGAGTGTCTTCAATGGAGTGCCGGTGTTCTTTCCTCCATCCTTGCTTCTGGGACCGTTTCCGATGAGCCCCGCGATTATCAAAAACCGATCCGCGATGAAAAATTGCCCCCGCGGAAGGGGGGTCGAGAGTCTTGGAGCCAAGCGTTGAACAAGATGGGCCTCCACGCGATATCAATCTTCCTTGGACCAGGGGGTTTCGAATTTATCTGACATCCGCAGCGTACTGCAATGGACAATCCTCTGATCTCTGCGCTCCCTCCTCCAAAACTGGCTTTCCGGCTGGGATTTCGAAGCTAATCCAGTCGCGGCGACGAGGGCACCCCATTGGGCCCAGAAAGGCCGCAAATGCCAAATCCCTTCCTCGCTCCCCTCTCCCCCTCCTACCTCCGCCTCGCTTCCCTCTCGCGTGCCTTTCTCCCACCCACCAAGATGCCTTCTTATTTGGGCCGTGATGGCGCAAACGAACGGCGCAGTTGTTTGGCATTGGCCACGCGACGCAAGACGTTCTTCCAGGTTGCAGGTGAATCTTAGAAATCAAGTATTTCTGAATTCCCAGATCTCAACCTACTTGAAGCACCTTTCCAGTCTTGACGCTTGTAGCATCTCCACTGGCCCATCCAAAGACAGGCACCAAGCGAGTTGCCCTGATGAGGGACATGTAGCGTGCTAGTTGAATGGTTGCCTGTAGTTGCCTGCAGTGCCTGTATGAAGCGTTGCGTGCCCAGGGCCGTATTGGTAGAGTGGTTGTCTGTCGTCACCCGCCGTGAGTGCATTGTCTTGGGCGCGCGAACACCGACGCCGCGCGCGCTGGTCATCTAGTTAGCCGGGAGCGACGACAAACAACCACCCAATCAGGGCAGCCGCGGGAGGCGCGCGACGACGACGACGACGGTGACAACGACGACGACGACGACGGCGACGACGACAGGAGTCAATGTCAAGACCTTCGCGATCTCATCGTAGGGCCTTCTTGAGGCCATCTTGGAGGCCTCGTGGGCCCTCTTTGGGCTTTTTTGGGGGGCCTTCTCAGGACTTTCTGGGGGCCATCCTGGAGGCTTTGGGACGCTTTTCGGGGACGTTGTGGAGGCCATAGATCAAAAGAAAGGCTCGTCGGGCCCGACACATCCTCTCTGGAGGCCCTCTCGGGCCGCTCTTGGGGCGGCGGTGGGCTGTTTTGAGACCGTCTTGGGTACCTCCTGGGCCGTCTTGGAGCCATCTTGAGGCCTCGACAGCCCGTCGGAAGAGAAAAGGCGAGAACACACACACAAACATTGAACAAGACCGTGGCTTCGAAGACTCCTGGGGGCCTCCTTGGGAGGCTTGGATGGCACTTGGGACTGTCCTAGGGCGATCTGGAGGGCTCTTGGAGACACGATGGATACTACTATCTTGAATCATCTTGGGATATCTTGAGCGATCTTCGAGGCCATCTTGGGCCCTCTGGCGCGCACTTGGAGTCACCTGGGGGCCGAAAGGGAACCCTCTAATACCTCGCGGGGGGAGTCCAGACCCAGGGGGAGGGGGTATGGGAAGAGGGGGGGCCCTCCCCGAAGGGGAACAAGGGGATTAGCATAATGAGCCCCTTAGACCTCTCACGCCTAGAGGGCTGGCGGGACTTCAGTCGATGGTTTCCCTGTTCCACCGCCCATGAGCTTGGCGAGTCGAGGCCTTATATGATTGAGCCAGCGTCCTATTGCATAAGTTTATCAACGTATTCCGAACAGCGTGTATGAGTTGGGTTGTCTCTTCTGCATGATGCTGGATATCTACACATATATATATATATGCTGTGCAGTATGTGAGACTGGAGAAGAGGATGGAGGTTGACCCTCTGTCGCGACCGTGTCTGTCTGTATTCCAACTTGTCTTCCTATCACCGTTGGCTTCATTGTCCTAGGCCTCGTCGGCTCAGGGCGAGAAGTGTAGCAGTTCCGCTATTTCTGTTCAGTGCGTGGTGCGCGGTCATGGCGCCCTCAGCACGCATTATTGCTGATGCAGAATACGTCGGCCCCACTCCATTGCTTCACGCGAGACAGTCATGTATTTCGTGCACTGGCCACGGGCCAAAGATTTCATCAGGCACAATGCTTCTCGGAATGTCCTCCTCTTCCTCCTCCTTGTCCGTCTCTGCATCTTCCTCCGTTTCTACCTCTTCCCCCTCCTTCCCGCTCTATCCAACCTCCAGTCCTATCGTGATCCTCTTCCTCGCACCCTCTTCCGAAATCCTTCTCCCCCTACTGCTGCGCGCCTCCTTCTCCTTATCCCTCTTTTCCTCCCTCATGCTCCCCTTCTGCGCGGTACACACAAGTATTCCTTGGACGCGGCAATGTATTACAGGCACAATGTAAGAATGCCAACGGGACACATTGGCAAATCAAATCACGCATGCACGCACGCGCACACACACACACATCTTCGCACACACACACACACACACTCACACATACACACACTGTTACCTCGGTGACCACGCGCCTGGCGTCGCGGCGGTCACACTGGGGCGAGTACACGCGGCAAGCGAAGAAGGCGAGAAGGACCAGGATGAGCGGCGGCCGGAGCGGCGAGAGTAACGACGGACGCAGACGAGAGTGCACTCCCACACCGCGATCCCCACCCCGCGATCCGCCCCGCCCTCCCCCCCAACGGTCCGCCTCCGTCACGCAGTGCCGCAACCACCCCCGCCCCAACGCGACCCGCCCCCCATGCGGCCGAGCCCCCCCAGCTGTGTTGCACTCTTGAGCAGCGGCGGGGCCCCGACGGACTTGGCCGCCACACTGGCAAGACGCCCGGTGTGCGCGCCAGCCCTGAGCTTGGCACGGGGTCGCTGCACCAGGGAGGGTGCGTCAGCGCGTGCACCGAACCCGGGTCGGTCGGGCCCCAGACCAAGATAGATCGCTCTCAGAGCATTCCGGAATGCTCTCAGAGCGTTTCGGGGCGCTTTGGAACGGCCGTGGCGCCTGATGCATTCTCCAGACCAGCCAGATCTCGGACATCCCTGCTTTCTCCTGGCTTCGCGTTATGAGGCCCAGTATTGAATGGGTGCAGGCGCATTCTCGGGCACTCGGCGGCCCCCCCACCCCCCCCATGGCCGCAGAGGGCGTCCATTCCAGTGTGCGTCCACGTGTCCAGGGTCGGACACCAGCGTGGTCCTTCGGGCCGCCCCAGGCTTGGCGAGGAGGCACAGGGGATTGGGAAGAGCGGGGCGGTCAGCTTTCGAAGTTTCGAGAGGCGCTTGCCTTCGCAGCTCATGTACGGCGCCCTGCACCCTACCGAGTTTCGCACGGCAGTGAATTTGCCTCCAGGCGGCTTTGGGTAGTGTGCTTTAGGCCATCGGGAAAAAGCTCGTACACGAGACTCATCCGCCTCTCCTCCACGTGGAGTGCGGCAATACACAATCATTGTAGGGAGTGGCTGTGTGATGCTCTTGACGTCGCGTTGGACAGTCTCGCATCGCATAGTATCTTGGCGTTCACGCAATACCTAAGGGTCACCAAACTTGCACATATGCGAGTTGTGAGCGGCAGAAAAACGCGTTCCTCTCCGAATCAAATTGATATCTGCTTCAACTAATCCTGAACACATCGCAACCCGTGGGTTACGGAATGGTTGTTCTAGTGACGTTGCGACATCCCTCCACGGCGGTACGAAGAGGAGGAGGAGGAGGAGGAGGAGGAGAAGGAGGGCAGAGAGAGGAGGATGGTAGGGCTCGCTTGAAAAGCACGTCTTCGTAGAGGAGCTCAGGGAGCGTTCCCCAAGGCCTGTTCGGTGGCCGCAGTCGCTGTTGGCCACCGTGAGGGCCCAGGAGGGCTCCAAGCGGCAGCCAGGCAGACTTCTCCGCGCACGATCGCACAAAACGAAGCACAGATCACACATGTCTCGAAGGTGTGGTCGGTGTCGTAGAAACCCCAGAGCCTTTGGAAGAGCCCTATGCCCTCCTTCCCCTTCATATTCAGCCCCCACTTCCCCTCATCCTTCCCGCCCTCGTCATCTCTACGTACATCTTTCCCTTTCTCCGCCCTCTCCCCCTTCTTCCCTTCCTCTGCCTCATCCTCCGTACCCCCCGTCCTCTCCTCTCTCCTGCCCCTTCTCCTCATCCCAACCTTATCCTCCTGTCCTCCTCTTTCTCCTCATCCCTCCATCTCCTGAAACTACGCTGGAAGAAAACCTGGTCCTTGAGATGAGATCAAAAGGTTCGGGAGGGGGGGGCGTGTCGCGGAATTCGCCCCGCAGAGGACCCAAACATATGCAGTTGTGAGTAAAACAGGATACGACCTTCTCGCCGAACGTACCGCCCCGCGCGAGGGATGGAGCCTGGGCTAGCTGGATGTCTGGCTCGGCGCAGATGAAGGCCGCGAAACGTATGAGGGTGTGCCGAAATAGGCACGGCGGCTGATGCGAACGCATGCGGTCTATACCCCTGGGGACTTCGGTGGACCTCCCTATCTGGCCACGGCACGTGAGAGGTGTGTCGACATGGGCAGGGTAGCATACGGACCCTCCTGGGCTCTTGGGTGTGCCGAAATGGGTGCGATGGTGGCTTGCGGACGTTACCATGTAGGCCTCCGGCGGAGCTCCCTATAGGAGGTCGCGAGTCTTGTGAGGGTGTGCCGAAATGGGTGAGATGGCGGTCTGCGATGTTTGCCATTTGGGCCTTCTATGGAGCTGGATCCCCTACGGGGCCACGAAACGTGTGATGTATGTGCCGTGTGCGGTGGTGGCTTGCTGGCTTGTCAATTTGGAACTTCTGTGGAATTCCCAACAGGGCCACGAAGCTTGTGAGGAGCGCGCCGATATGGGTGCGGCGGCGGCATGTGAACTTCGCCGTTTGCGCCTTCTGAGGAGCTCTCATGGGGCCACGACAGGTGAGATGTGTGGGTCGACATTGACATACGGAGAGCAGAGGCAGGAGGGAAGGAGGGGGGAAGGAGGAGTGAAGACGCGGGGCGCTGCTGATTCAAAACGGGGACCCAACAGTACAGGAAGGTTGGGGAAAAACATGCGACGTTGGATGTTTGGAGTAGGGTGGAGGAGGAAGCGGAGGAAGAGAGGAGGAGGAGGAGGAGGAGGAGGAGGAGGAGGAGGAGGAGGAGGAGGAGGAGGAGGAGGAGGAGGAGGAGGAGGAGGAGGAGGGGGAGGGGGGAGGGGGGAGGGAAGGAGGAGGAGGAGGAGGGAGTGGAGGCAGAGGCGGAAGCGGAGTAGGGTAAGGAGGGAGGAAGGATACGGGAATGATTTCGATATGTGTTGTAGCCATTTTGGGGGGCTTCCAGGGAGGGGGACCCGGGAGCCCTCGTCGCCAAGGCTCAATCTACCTCGCGACCAGTCCGCGTCAGAACACGCTCCAGGAGTCGCAACGATTGGACGCGGCTGTTCGGAGTTGTGCGCTTGTCTTTTTGTTGGTGGATAATCGGTAGTTTTCCGTTGCTTCCTGCAGCTCCCGCGGCGGACAGGGAGCAGGAGGATGAGGTACCGCATGGTGTGTGTGTGTGTGTGGTGTGTGGTGTGTGGTGTGTGGTGTGTGGTGTGTGTCGCGTGTGTCGTGTGTCGTGTGTCGCGTGTCGTGTGCGTGTGGTGTGTGTGTTGTGTGTGTCGTGTGTCGTGTGTCGTGTGTCGTGTGTTGTGTGTCGTGTGTTCCGTTTGTGTGTGTGTGTGTGTGTTTGGGGGGGAGGGAGGGGGCAGGAAGCAAGGAAGGAAGGAAGGACGGAGGGAGGCAGGGAAGGAGGAAGAGGAGGGAGGTGGTGGAGCAGGGACAGAGGACGGGGGATGGGGGAAGGGGGTTTTGAAGGAGCATGACGAAGATGAGGGCGAGGCGAGGAGAGGGAAGGGAAGGAGGGGGTGGGGATGGCGAGGGGGAGGAGGAGGAGGAGGAGGAGGAGGAGGAGGAGGAAACTGGAGGAGGAGGAGGAGGAGCTGGGGGAGGAGCGCCAGCCGATTGCCGCAGGTCCTCCCGAGTCGTACTCGCTTTGGCCGACGGGGACGTGCTGGTCTTCTCCACCACGCGCGGCAAGAGCAAGGCCGGCGAGAGACTTCTCGAACTCATCGTCTTCTCTCCACGTCGATCCACCCTCCCTGGCCCCCACTCCTCGAGATGGCGTGGGGAGGGGCATCCCCCTCCTCCTCCTCCTCCTCCTCCTCCTCCTCCTCCTCCTCCTCCCCTCCTCGTCTTGGGGTAATGACGACGAGGAATAGGCAAAACATGAGGACGAAAGAAGGGGATTGGCGGAGGAGGTGGAGGATCGAAAAGAGTTCGAGGGGTAGGAGGAGGAGGAGGAGGAGGAGGAGGAGGAGGAGGAGGAGTGTCGAGAAGAGGTCGAGAAGCAGAAGGGGGAGGTCGACAGCCTCGACTATGAGGGGCATTTTCGCGGGGATGGCCACAAACATCTCCTCTAAGCCCTGGCGTTTTGGGAGGTGATCGCGCACGTACAGACCTCTGGATATTCAGAGGCTTGTAGGTCTTCGTCCCATGTGCGCTCCTTGTCAGAGCGTCGGCGTTGGTCCATTTTTTTGGCTACATGGCAAGAGTGGGAGCGAGGAGGAGGTTGCAGGAAGTGAAGGCGTAGTGAGGGAAACATAGGCGGACGAAGGCAAAGGGAAGAGAGAGACAAGGAGGAGTAGGAGTAGAGCACACAAACAAACAATTAAAAAGAGGAGGAGGAAGAGCAGGACGTCATTGATGAGATGGGCACGGCGGCGGACCAGAGTAAACCCAGCATATATCAACGATGTTTCCATGCACCCTCCAGTCCTAAGTCCACGCCTCGTGAGTCCCTGCAAACATTCCTTGTCACCACGGGGAGCGCCCCCGCCCTCAATCTCTCAAACTATCCAGGTCGGGGGGGCGCTGGGGTGCCATGGGTCTTGATGCCCAGGCCCATGTTGTTGGCACCGTAAGTTGCCTCGATTGCAAGGGAAGTCGGTGAAGCAACTTAGCGCACGTCAGGACCGATGTGCCAGAAGGGGGGCTGAATCATGTTTCGCGAGAGCCACACCTTGCAACATGTGTAGCACCATACACACAACATGTCCTGGCACATATCAGCCGGTGCCGGCGCGGTGGCAGATGAAATGCGCACGAAGTTCAAGGATATATCCAGCGAGAGCCCCGTGTTGAAAAGCAACAGTTATTCCTTCTAATTGTTGCACAGACGTCATTTCCTTGCCATCAAG